CAGTTTTCTTTGTGCTGCAGCTTTATGAATACATTAGAGTACACAATTGGTTATTACAGATGCATAGGTGAACATATTGCCTGGGGTTTCAGTATTAATTGTGATCGCCACATTTTAGGTCACACAGATGGTGGATAGTAATGTACATGTCATCAACCAGTTTAGCAATAAAAAACAAGCAGCCTCTCGGCTGAGATAGCTCCGCTCTTAGCAATGCACATTTCAATTAAATAACAGAAGATATCATTAGAAAATGAACAATATGTATAGTATCAAAACAATCAGATTTTCAGGTTTTCAACAAGAAGTGGAAAATATTACTTTTTACCAAAAATTACAAAAATATTCACCAAAATTAGGTCACACAGATGGTGGATAGTAATGTACATGTCATCAACCAGTTTAGCAATAAAAAACAAGCAGCCTCTCGGCTGAGATAGCTCCGCTCTTAGCAATGCACATTTCAATTAAATAACAGAAGATATCATTAGAAAATGAACAATATGTATAGTATCAAAACAATCAGATTTTCAGGTTTTCAACAAGAAGTGGAAAATATTACTTTTTACCAAAAATTACAAAAATATTCACCAAAATTAGAGAATTGAAGATGTCATCATGAAATGAACAAATCTGAGTTAGAACCACGCGTAGTACCTATATATGTAATATCAAAGCAATTGGATTTGCGGTTTTCAACAAGAAGTCGAAAATATCACTTTTTACCAAAAATGACTATTCTGATTTAGGCATCACTCGAATTTAGGCGTAGGGCAAGAGTGGAATGTTCTAAAAGTGACACCTAAATTTGAAATACTTACGAGTTAGTTAACATTTAGTGAAAGCTCAAGTAAGCTTGCATGGATTACTAAAATGGGACTGTGTCGTCATTAACATATCAAAAGCTCATCTTTATATTCACATTGTGAGAATCTCATCCATACCCACATCACTTGATAAGACGTATAGAGCCGAGAATACTTGAAAGAAAAGTCAGCAGGACAAAACATCAATAAAAGAAGCTATCTGGAAATGGTAAATGTAATTCATAAACTAAATGCAGTCTGTAAACATACATTTTGTATGAAAGTTGCCATGACAACACTTACAGTTTGCAGTTTAGGGCATCAGACAGATTGTAATTTACATAACCACTATTGACCAGAATAGCGGTAATTTGGCAACACATGTTTTGAATATCAGTGCCATAAACAACATCTACATTGTAATCGTTGTCCCAAATGAGTCAATACAGTAATATTCGGATTCCTAATAATGTTAGTGTATTTTACATGACAGGACTGAGACCATCTTATAATAATGGCCATTCAATGTGATAACCAAGTATGAATATTCAACAAGGTCCAGTTAAACACTTGCAGGTTTTAAGCATTTAGGGCCATTCAAATAACATATATCCAAGGCAACAGAGAATAATACGAACAATTTCTACCATCAGCCTATTAATACTAAATATTATGTTTCAGTGAATGAACAAACAAATACCAATTTGTACGAATACAAACAAATACCAATTTGTACAAATACAAACAGGTGAATGTTTGACAAATTACAAGTTTTCATTTCAAAATATAAATTGTTCAAGTTGGAGCATGTGCCCATGGCTAGAAATAACATTGTCAACTGATTTATTTTTGCCATTCTCAATTCCCTAATATGCTAATTATTTGGTGTTCATTCATGGAGACAAATTTCATGGAAGTTATTGTCTAAAGATCCCATGAAATGAACATGCTATGAAATTTATCATTACGACTCGTAAAATACCAGAAATATCTCTTGTCAA